TAGCGTTCTTGCTCTTGGTCGGCACGGCCCAAGCAAACTTTGAAAATATGTCGATGACGGTGAGCAGATACTTGTATCCGCGGTTCTCTCTGGCGTACGCTGACATGTCAACGAGATCCGCTTGCCAAGGCTCGTCCAATCCACGGACGTCAACGTGCCGGCGCTGGTAATTTCTCCTGGCAGGTCTATGCAGTTCCTTCACCACCGCTAACTTTTTTCCATCCATTCTCCAGCGCACTCAGTCTGGCGTCCAGCTGAGAAATGATCAGAGAATTGCGAATCGCCAATTCTTGTCCTGGCTCGATATCAGCTTGCAGACGTTTCAACGCATCCTTCGTGGTAGAATCGAGAGATTGAATCATCAAGTTGTTGTTATCGATATCATCGCGCATTCCGGCAGTCACGTGAAACACGGTATTCAGCTCCTGCTTCACAACAGTTTTCATCAGATTCAAGGTCACAGCATCGTTTTCCTCCTCGGGATTGGCGATGTTACAGAGCTTCTTGTTATCAATGTCGTAGTGCCCAGTAGCAGTGAATTTGAATTCAGCGCCAGGGAGACCACGGCTACTCGTAACCGCGGTCCTGCTACTCAGCTGACGTCCAAACACGTCGACACTCATATTCAAAGTGGCGATCGCGATCGTTTTATCGAGTTAATAAATAATACCCGCCTCGCGCAATTCTTCGATAATCGACACAATTTCGTTGGAGTGACTGGGGTTACCAGCTTCCCGAGAGGCAAGGAGCAGACGAAGCCGGTCTACCAATTCGTTGGGATCGTCCCAGTACACGTAATCCGTTCGTTCGTCCTTGGCAGCGATCATGTAAAACGGTACTATACCTTTGCCCGTTACAGAGGGCTGTTCGATCAGTTTTGCAATAACGTTATTAAATTTGAAACTCTTGCTCTTACGAATTTCACCATCAGGTTTATAGTACTTTCTATGTGAATTCGTCGTTAAAATAATGTTTTTGTAATTGTCCATGTCATCCTGGGTTATACTAGTCTCATCAGGTACCTTCCTGAACAAGAGTTCGATCAAACCCGCAGTTTTCAAGTAAGTCGTGTCACCTACATGGATTCGATCACCCTCAAAGCTGATGCGCGAATCGCCTATCATCAATTTGTTCTTGGCAAGTTTACGCACACCATAGGCGGTATCCAATTGTTTATTCTCCCTCGATAGCAGCATATC